AGTTAAAATTCTGCTGAAAGGGGTGCAGTGAGCCAATGTGGCCTTTCTTAGGAAAGTACGTGAGTTTAGAAACTGAGCTTCTTGTCTACTTCTGAGAGAGAAATATTAGACAGATAATGGAAAAATATTCTAAGTGTCTCAGTTTTGTTTTTGTTTTTTTACACTTTTACATAGGAGAAGATTTATTTAATGGATTAGCTTTAATGATTTCATTTCTCCACTAACCTCCTATTTAATGTAATCTTCAGAAAAAAAAAGAAAGAACTTTAGAACAATTGAAGAGAAGCTATGCAATACAAAGAGAATCTTTTATGTAATATGTGAAAGTCAACAGAAATTCAACAAGAGAGTTCTGAATGTAACCTAAACCTGCCTATGTTCCCAACCAATATGACTAAACAAAACTGAGACACTTAGAATATTTTTCCATTATCTGTCTAATATTTCTCTCTCAGAAGTAGACAAGAAGCTCAGTTTCTAAACTCACGTACTTTCCTAAGAAAGGCCACATTGGCTCACTGCACCCCTTTCAGCAGAATTTTAACTTATGGGCAGCACTTCAGAAATTACAATATTAATTCTGTCTTTTCTGGAACAACATGAGGTGGAAACGGACCACAACAGCCTGATATCAAGATATCGAGATCATTGCTGGCAATTTCCACATTATTATTGAAGTTGTGGTTTTACTTACTTGAGCCTCCTTTGTCTGAGTTTTGTGACTTTTAAAAGTCCCTTCATGGTCATCCTCAACTGTGGAACTAGCATTCAATGCTGCAATTCGGATCTACAAATGAGAATCAACACAATAATAAACAACATATCTGTCCCAGTCCTTCATCTCACTCCTGCCTCCAAGATTTTTCTTATTTTACCCTTTTAGCTGCAAGTCTCACAAGCAACCCATTTTTTAGCATTTACATTAAGAAATTATTATTACTATTACAATATATCATGGCAATTTTATATATCACCACTTGTAGAAAATTACAAATCAAAGCAGGCTTCTTTAAAATCAGCAGTGACAGCCAGAGGTGAAAGATTCCACCATCTATCCATTATACGCAAATTCCTAAAATAGCTATTCACTCCAACAACAGAACTGCAATTGCCAAAGTAATGCTCTAACTGTGCCAGTTTCCACTCCACAGAGGGCAACTTAACTTTGAGTTAAGGGACTATAGAAAAACAATTAGGTTTCTAGCATCACACACATCAGAGTTCAAGCAACAGTAGCAGGGTTCCCTGCTCCCAAAGAGTCATCCCACCAAAGGGTCTCATAAGACACTATGCTGTAATGTGAATTTACCATGTTCAGAGAGATTCGGTGCTGCCTCCCAACACAATCAGGTGGCAGGGCCAGTCACAAACAGGTCTGAAAATCAAAGAGGATTAGATGCCTTACTATGTGTATATATACAGAAAGTATTCATCATTAAAAGAATATACATATCATTACAATGTACAGATTTATTTGGATTATTTGTAAACAAGGCACTTTACCTTACCATCATGTTATTTAACTCTAAAAATAATATTAAAAAAAATTGTGTAGTAAAGGTCTAAAAATAAAAGACAAATAAGCTGGAAAGTTCTTCTTCATTTCATGTTTACTTTTAGGGATCTAAATTCTAGAAATAAGTGCATTGGAAATATTTTAAGTGTCGTACAGATATACAGTTGGAGCTTAATATATATATTTTAAACTAATACTAAATGACACTTCAACATTACCCAGTTTATTTCATATATGAATATTGCATTAAATAAGCAATAAGACTGTAGCATGAATCATTCAAATGTAAGGAAATGATAAAGAAAAAATTGACCATGCAACTTCAACTTTACCTCTTTACAAATAAGCATTACTATAGTTTAATGGTTCTCAAACATTTTTAGGGCTGCATTCACCATTTTAGGTTTCTTGTACTGCTGCAGTATTATCAATAATAAAGAATAACACTTTGTCATTACAGCACAATCAACAACCTAAGAAGAAATTGTTGAGTTGTTCTTTGTCATATTTCCCCTTTCTTTCCACTTAAACTTTCTAATTCCTTCCTGCTGTGTACCCCCTTGGAAGTTTTCATGTCCTCCCAGGGTTATTCACCTCTCATATTGAAAAACACTTGTGTAGCCTTTAATGGTACCATAAGTTACTAAAAAATAGTGGAAGGAGACCTACTTTGAGAAGAGAACCTGTGTCATTAACATAATACCATTATGCACTTCCCTGAATCCCACTTGTAGAACAAGAGAAAATTCAATAGAAAAGTTGCCCTGAGGCTCAACATAGCCTGCTTCTGAGCTAGTCTGATCAAACCACTGCCTAAGAATATCAGCAGCTAGCAAGCATTCTTCTCAACCTTCACTGTTGTTAAACCTGATAGAGCTAAATCATTTACATAACAGTTAGATTTTTTTTTTAAAAATTGTTCTATAGTTAATGTAAGTGGGTCAATGAGAACACTACTGCCTCTTACAAAAGGATGTTAGTGCTGTGGATATGTGGAGGTCAAATAGATGCCTGCTACAAAATGAAGTTAAATTTCTATGATAAACACACTTCCATTTTGAAGGGAGTAAAAGTTAATATCTCAGGCCATTTTAACATTGATTCAAAGTTTAAAAACTGCTATTAATATATGCAAGCTATTAGCCATTTTCTGCTTAAATTAAACCCACAATTCTTCATTCTATTAATTGCTTGAGGTATGATGCAAGTATAGACAAAAGAATCTTAAAGCCTTTTGTATACTTTTTAAAAACTTTATTGCTGAGAGACAAATACTTCCCATCAACTGACATTCAAAAAATGACACGTGCAAGGCAGGCTAAATACAGTCTTTTACATTATAGACCATATTAATAGTAAAAGGTACCTCCAGAATTAACCATAGCAGGAAGCAGTGGGAGTGATGAACTATAAACTGAATTAATTCAGACATAACTGATGAGTGCTTTCACAGGTAAAAAGGCACATTTTTACTTTAATTTCGTTCTCATTCTGAAATTACTGCATTCTGAAATGTTCTTGTTCTTTCATGAATTCTTCCTCCAAACAAAGCCTGTCACTTGCATCCAAATTAGAGAGACAGTTCCAAAAAAATGAAACATTTTCATCTCCAGATTATTTTGTAAGTGTTAATAAGCCTCAGACCCTTACAAGGAAGGTAGATACGCATTCAATTTTATAGATGTTGGAAACAGACTTTTAATTTCTTTGTGTTTCTGAGTTCCAGAAATACTAAATACCCACAACTCCAACTTAAATTAACAGAAGTTGCATATGCTCACCAATTCTTAAAAAAAATATTTAACCAATCAATGGCCTCAATTCAAATCCTCTGTAACATTAGTTAAAGCTGGGTGTGTATTTATGCTTATTTATTCATACACTTCAATTTAAGTACGTGCTTAAGCACCTGGCTCAATCAAGACCACCAAGACTTGCTAAAGGTAACTCCTTAGCTTGGCTGATAATTCACTAGACACCCCCCATTTCTCTAAAGAAAAAGTTACAGTTGGCAGCAGTTTTAATTTAATTGCAAACCATTCCACACAGTTCCTTGTCTAATCTATTACCAAACTACATAATCAACCCTACCACCCATCTACCAGGCACAGCACCCTATACTGCCACAAAGCAGGGGGACAACTGCAGTCTTTGTCCTACTGATTCAAGGATTAAACTACACTTACCCCCCATTACAGAGGAAGGCAAAACCCCCCCAGTCTGTACCAAACTGACCAAGAAGCAGAAATCCATTCAGGCCCCAAATGTGGCAACTGGTCTGACCCTGACCAGAGGGGCAAGATCCTCTACCAAAGAAACTCTGGAGTTTAGTCCCAGTAGGAGCACTGGTACACCCCACTCAGGCTCCCCAGCCTTGGCTGCAGTCAACCCCAATGCTTCTGAGGAAGGCAAAAAAACCCCTCAAGACCCTGACATAGGTAGCAATAGGAGGGGGGATAAAATCCTTCCCATCCCCACATGGAAAGGGAACATTGGAAATACCCATAGCACAGGCATAGGTACTTCTAGATCATCTCTGACCAATGTTCATCCAACCTCTTCCTGAAAACCTCATATGGTAAAGGTTCCCCACAACTTCCCTAAGCAGTCTATTCCAAACCCTCCCTGTCCTAACAGTGAACAATTTTTCCCGATACCCAATCTAAACCAATTCTACTACAACTTCAAGCAACTTGCCCTTGTCCTGATCTATGCAGCAAAAGAAAGAAAGGTGTTCTCAATCTTTTTTGTAGCAGCCCTAGATATGCATGGACAGCAATCATGTCCCCTCTTAGTCATCTTTTCTGCAAGCTGAACATGCCTTGTCCTTCAGCCTCTCCTTGTATGGTTTGCCTTCCAAGCCTTTATCATTTTTGCTGCCTGCCTCTGGACCTTCTCTACCTGCTCCACATCCTTTTTAAAATACTAGTACCTGTTTGTCCAGATACATTTCACATGGAGTTTCATGTTCCAGGTTGAGAACAGCAAAGCAGGTTCACTTGTAGGTACTGGCTGCTCTGTGCAGGTGTGACACCTAATATTCATTCGATATTTGTGACGGTACATCAGTTGGGGGTGTGACTCTTTTTAAGCAAGGTGCTTGAGCCTGGGCACAACTACAGTAGTATAATTCCCTATGAGAACACACCATCCCAGTTTAAAACTATTCATGCCAACATAACCATATGCATGTTAGGAGAATGGTAACACTAACTAAACGACCAAATGAATGATACTAGTTTAGCCAGAGCACTATAACTTGTGGGTACTGACAAAGCCTCAAGCACCCTCAGACAATATACTTAGACATATCCTCACAGTGGAGAGCAATCTTAGATTGGACAAGCACCTAGCTAGGGTTGTCTGACCCCAGTGCTCTTTCCTGCCCAGGGCAGGGGGTTGGACTCGATGACCTACTAAGGTCCCTTCCAACCCTAGAAAAATCATCTATAGATTTCATAGACTTTAGGGCTGGAAGGGACCTTGAAGATCATGAAGTCCAGCCCCCCCGCCCCAGGGGCAGGAAGTCAGGTAGGGTCAAAGGACCCCAGCAAGATAAGCATCCAAGCATTTCTTGAATAAGTCCAGAGTAGGTGCCTACTCTACTATGAAATCCTTTATACCTCTGCACGTCAAAACCATATTGTAAATATAAATAGAGTTTAAGCAACTGCTTGCTGGAGCATCCAGTTTACTCGCTTGCTCGCTCTTTGTGCTCCAGGCACATCTCATATGGAGCTTCACGGTCCGGGGCTGAGAACAGGGTTGGCTTACCGCGTACAGGTGTAGCACTGACCAGCAAACATGCATGGGAGAGAACGCATTTTCGCCACGTTTCGGTGGGAAAGCACCTCCGCGGCCACCACGAGGATGCTGCTGGCAGAGGGTTTCGGGGAGAAGCTGGCACAGGCCCCTCGTCAGAAGGGAGGTCAAGCACAGCGGGGAGGTGGGAGAGAGGACAGAATCGCAGACCGGGCCGCCCAGCACCCGGCAGCGGGAGGGAAGCTCCTACATCCCGGGACCGGCTCTGCCCCTGGCACGCGGAGCCCGGGGCAGCAGAGCGAGGCCTGATGTTGCCCCCAGCCCCTCCCACTCCCCGGCCCTTTTTGCAGCCCTCGGGGCCGCTCCGCTCCGTACTGCCGCCCCCCAGGCTCCGGCCCGGCTCGGACCGGGAGGGCTGGGAACGGGAGGCCGCCCGCGCCGAGGGGATACACCTCACCTGCTGTCTCCACGGCAACCTGCTCCCGGGTCTCTAGAGCCCGGCACGCCAACAACGCGCGCTCTCATTGGCTCAACCGCGGCTCCATAACCAGCCAATGCAGAGGCCGAATACTGAGCGCGGCTCCAGGAGGCGGGACTTCCGAGAGAGGAGGGGCCTTGAGGTTGAGGGGGAGGAGCCAGGGTGGTGGTGGGCGGAGACCAGCCTCGTGCTATGCTTGGGCTCCTTGCACAGGACCCCGCCCTCCCGCGGCAGGCAGCCAACAAGCAGCTGGAGTGCCTTGCCCCTGCTCCTTCTTGGCACTGGGATGCTCATGAGGGTGTCAGAGGTGCCGCTGTCATCGCAGCACCCAGATGCCATCAGGGGTCGGGCTCAGCGGGTCTCTCACACCATTTTTTTTCCATGCCACTGTGTATAGTATCTGGACTTGTGGTAGAGGATCTAATCTTTTATAGATCTGCTAGATTTTTGCAAAAAACAAAAAAAATTCTTTGCAAAAATCTAGTTGGTCTAATGAACGATATCACCTCGACCACTCGTCCTGATTCCTTTGGCCTCTAAACCAATACAACTACAACCTGGATACCTGACACTGGTTATAGCGGAGGCGGGCAATTATTTTGGGCAGAGGGCCACTTACTGAGTTTTGGCAAGCCATCAAGGGCCACATGACAGGCAGCCCAGGGCAGATGAATATTAATTTTCTAAATTTTTTAGGGGCCCCACAGGCCAGATAGAATGGCCTGGCAGGCCGCCTCCGGCTCCCAAGCTACATTTTGCCCATCCCTGAGTTATATTATTCATTCACACGTCATTTCAGAGTTTCTGAATTTTTAGGAAAAAAAAAAACTTTTCTAAGTGAAAGAGGTGTTCACAAAAACTTTAGCAGTTTCACTAAACAGTGCTCTCTGGCTTGTACCGTTTTCACCATCTTTTAGCTCTTATGATGGTCTTGTGCTACTTCCTGTGTCACCACAAATCTTCCAATGTAGATAGAATCAGATTTCCAATAGCATCCAAATGCTCCACCTGGACTGATGCAGCCTCGTGGGCTCAAGATGCGCCTGTTCACAGGGTGTTGGGGCACCAGGACATGCCACCTGGTCCAGCGTATTGCCTTTGCATCAGCCTGTCACCATGTCTTGTTGCGTGTCCTGGCATCAGGGCTTCTCCTTTCTTTTCCTAACAGGGTCCATCGAGCTCCCATACCTAGCCTTGTTACCTAGCCCCTCTCCATGGTCCATCTCTGTGACTTTGTTCCTCCTGGCTTCAGCTACAGCCTTGCTGCAGTGCTCTACCTCAGCACTCTCTCCTCTGCCTAGTCTTTTCTGAACTCTTCATAAAGGTCCAACTTCATCTGAAACCCAGTCTCTCAAATGCCAAATTTTATTGTCTTTCCTCCTGATCCTTCTCACCTTCCCTCTTTCTCAATCCTTGACCTTCACAAAGAAGCTGTACTTTTTCCCCAGAAATATTATGCCATTGTTTATTGTATGTATTCACACCTTATTTCAAAGAGCGGTTGAATTTTTAGCAAAAATGTTTATTTTCTAAATTGAGGTATTAACAAAAGTAAGATTTTAACGGTTTCACTAAAGAATCCTTCTCTCCAAATTGCTCAGTTTTCACCATCTTTTAGTTCTTATGATGGCATTGTGCTAGTTCCCCTGTCACCACAAGTCTTCCAATGTAGATAAGACTCCAATTTCCAATGTAAAAAATAAACAACATTAAAATCAAATGTATAGGAAAACATTTCAGGCTTTCTTGCATACAGCCACCTATTTCCTCCTACAGGCAAGCAATAGGTATTACCACTGAAACGTAAGTTACTGCATTCAGGTTACTCCACTAGAGGCTGCCTCGCTTGAGAAAAAGTAGTCACCAGAAAACAGGACTGAACTATACAAGGATTTGATTACCTGAACAGTGTGATTCAATTAGCAGCGGACAAGATGTGCTAATTCATGCTGCAGTCTGTATTTGCATCCTCACTGCATTACCAGCTAATGCATCAGCAACACTGGAGTCTCAAACCCATGTCTTCTGACAGGCCAGTTAGTTTGAGTTTAAAGCACTCTCAAAACAAAGATTTTTGTGTGGGAATGAGAGAGGTTAGGGACACCATTATGCCTCAAACTAAGAATGCAGTGATGATGAGCTTTTATTTTGTGTGCACATAGTACTGTGTAGTTTTATATCACTACGTGAACGTCTTGTAATAAGTCAGAGTGCCTTCCTTTTACTTCAGTTAAGGTTTTAAAATCACTTTGAAGCAAGCAAGTTACCAAGGTATTTGGATGGCCACTAGAAGGCATATTGAAACGTGTGCATTACATGAGAGCTCTCTCTAGTCAAGTGCCTAATGGCATCTGAAACATACAGATCAAAGCTTTAGTCATGTTTTGGTCTTGGATTTTTGATCTCTTTCAAAAAAGACCTTCCCTCAGTGCCATTTTTGTTGCTGGTTATTAAATATATTCAATAAACCTAAAGTAAGTGATTCTTTTATGATAAAATAATCTAAAGGGTGATTAGAAGGTGAACATAGCTGATAGTTATTTGCTGAAGTATGTGAAATAAGATGATGCTCTCATTCCTCATGGAGTAATCAGTAGCAAGTTGTTATACCGGGTATCCGTGTTAGCAACTAGCAGCAGACTCTAGAGACAGCACAGAGGCTGAAATATTGTCTCAGTCATGTGTGGTCTGTGACAGAGAAGATGGGGGAGGGCGATCTATGCAGGAGACTGTGCTACAGAAACCCCTCAGGGTTAGGTCAAGTTTTGGATGCAGGAGAAATAGCAAGGGTGCTTCAACTCAAGCTAGCAGGAATTTTATGAAGGAAGATTTTGTAAGTGTTGTACCTGACTAAATCTAAAGAGCCTTTAATCACCCTGCAGCCACACCACTTGTGCTACAGCCATCTCTCTCAACTTAAGTGGTATAAGGAGAAATACCCTTGATCTCCAATGTACACATTACTTAAAAATAAGCTTTAACTTCAGACTTAGGAGGTAAGATAAGCCCAGTACATACACTCCATATAACTGAAGAATTGTGTGGGTATGCATAAATATTACAGCAGATTCTCTACACTTCTGGCAGCATAACTTCAAAAAGAATCATTATTATTTCATATTTGTATTCTAGTGGTGTCCTTAAGCTTGATCAGCTCTCATTGTGTTGGTTGCTGTGTAAATATATAGGAGGAACAGTCCTTGTCCCAAAGACTTAGAATAAAAGAAAGTCTTCTGTATTATATACATATTACACCATGACCCATCTAACACAGGGTAGTAAAGGTGGGTGCATTTGGATTTGCAAACATACCTGTCCTGAATCTTGAAAAATAAATAGAAATCACCGACACTTAGAAACATTGGCTCAGCTCAGTCAGTAGCTGATCCTTCAAGATCTGAGCATTTAGGAACTGTAAAAAAATCTCCTCTTGCTGACAAGTAGGGAGGATCAAATGCTAGGCAGCCACTCTCTAAGGCCAGCTGAACAAATTGGAGGTGGTATTTGGGAGAAGCAGTCAAAATAATTCCTTTTCAGGTGTAGGCCTACCTGGGACATTTGCTGTTTCTAGAGTAACAAATCTTTAGAAATGTTACAGGAAAAAAGAAAATGTTTCCAAGTTCCTTGTTTCAGGGGCATAGGTTGTAGCCATGTTGGTCGAAGGACAGAGGTGTGGCAGGGCACTTGGTGGTGCCTGCAGGTGTTTGATTTTGGCAGCCATTTTAGCTCTCGGCCCGCCCGTACAAACAAGAGCAGCCTACTGCCGGGGCAGGAAAGAAATATCACCTGGCTGAGCTGCTGCATGGGAACATCTTGCAGATAGGAGCAGGAGGCTCTGGTTCTGGGTATGACCTAAAAATGCACCCTGCCAGGAGTGGGTGGTCTGGTGGGGCTCCCAGTGGCATGGGAACCCCAGAAAAATGCCAGGCCAGTTACCACCCTGGTGGGGCCAGGACCCAGATAGGGAGTAAAAAGGGCCAGGGGCCCAATGTGAGGGATGCCCATATAAAGCAAAGAAGCTCAGGGTCCCAACTGGCCTGAGATAGGGTCAGGGCTTAAAGGGAAGCCGAAGGTCCCAGGGAAGGGGCCACAGCTAATGGGCAAAGGGGGTAGTAGAGTTGGCTGCCTGAGATGCTATCTGTGAGGCTTGGGCAGTGGTGTAGGGGTGGAATGGACCTGTGGATAGCACCCCCCCAATATCGGGGTGTATAATGGACAGCCTCCTGCCTAATTCTCACATCAATATTTGTCACAGGGGCACTCGGGTGCCCCGTGCCTAAGTAGGGATTGGGGCCTCTGCTAATTGCCAGGGCAGCTCAGGTGCTGGTTGCTGGAGCAACCATGTTGGTCAGGTGACCAGAAGGGGGCAGTGCCAGGCCCTTATAAACAGCCCAGGCCAGAGCCTGGCTAGTAGTTCCCTGCTGGCAGCCGGAGGAGCGAGAGCTCTGCAGTGGAGCTGAGCGGCATCGGGCAGACTGATAGAACGAGTAGCTGCATCATGGCAAGGGGGGAGAGAACCCTGACTAGGAGGTCTTACTGGAAGGCCAGGTGGGGCCTGGACTTTATGTTATAGCCGGCAGGCTTATTGTTCCGTTACAGCCGGTTGGCTTATGGTTCTGTTTAGTTTGTTGTGTATATAACCGGAGGACCGGGTGAGGCTGTAGGGGTGCGAGGAGGCCTCACGGGAGCTCCCCAGTGGCCTGGGGGTTCCTGGTGCCTGTAGGGCCACAGTGAGCAGTGCCAGGGTGGCACAGCTCGTGGGCACCGGTGCGGTGCGGTGCGGTGCTGTACTGGGGGGGTGTTGACCCCAGCCCTGTGTGGGCAAGAGATGATGGAAAAGCCCAAGTAGGGCAGAAGACCCTAACGGTGGGTTAAGGGGGCCAGGCATGGCTACGGCCACCTGAGCCCCGACTGTAGAAAGCACGGAGGCAGACCCAGTGGGGCGCTGCCAAAGCACGGAGGCAGGCCCAGTGGGGTGCTGCCTGTATGGGTGAAGCCCCGACGGGGGTCAACCCCATTGAGACGCCCCAGGTGAGGGCGCGTAGTGGAAAGAAGCCCCAGGAGGGGGCACATCGGATTGATA